AACAGAATCACAAAACACTTAAAAGTCAGACTCTTTCCCTGACTCAGTCATTTATTTTATAATAAAAAGGTGAATTTTCAAAACCCGGCATGATAACCCGGAGAATAATTACTGCGGATTCTGTTAAAGTACTCCACACCTACATGTTTGTGCAAATTACGGAAAATACTGACCTCGTGACCTACTGCTGCAGACCTGTTGAGACACACACTCACTGTACATCAATGTCTTTTAAAACAAAACACCTACTTGTAACTTAAACATAATAATATGCACTGCACTTTTATTAGGAAAAATGAAAATTGGAAATGTATGAATAAATCTGAATAAAAATGGACTTGAATTAAAATGAGTTAAATGACCTCTGAAAGATCAAACTTTAGAGTTTCTAAAAACACGGAGCTGTCAGCAGAAATGAAGTATTTGTAGCGATGACAGAACAGGAGGATTCAAACTGCGAACGCAGATCTAACAACCGTCTAAACGAAGCAGATTCTTTTGTCTCGGAACATAAACATCTGTGCTGCTGTCTTTAAATGGTCCTTCTAGAAGCAGAGCATAAGATTTRCCACCATATGATGCTTATCTCTGAGAAAAAAATTGGCAAGAAATACATTCTATGTCCAGTTTTACAGCTTAAGTGAAGTCAGTGTGGAGACAAAGTGTGTGATACAAATGACTGCAGAGTTAAAGGGAACAAAAGCTCATTAGGAGCAACTCAGAGTAAAAATGTGTATTAATGAGTCTAAATTCCTAAAGATCGACAAAACGAGTCAGAAATAGCAACTGTTTGTGGGACGTGGCTTAAAGTGCCTTTAAATCAACAATAAAAATAACTTGAGCTCAAAGCCTGCTGTCCCAATAATCCCAACCCATCTGAACTAATGAAAGAATGAGGACAAAACATAAAACAGTATCTTTGTTCAAATGCTGCTGGAGCTCCTTCAAAATAAAGAAATGAGAGCGACTTGAGAGACGGCGATGACGAGCAGTGAGACAATGCAGACTGTGACATGCTGTAGGTGTGGATTCAGGGTGGGGAGAGATGGAAATGAAGCTGATACTGTGATCACAGATCACCAGCCAATTATAGAAACTGGCATTTTTTCCTCCATACACATTTCGACGCTGTTTTTAGACAAGCTGCGATTCTGAAAATGCTCCATATTGATGCTTAGCAGGAGGAGACCTAAAAGGATGCCACCAAAGCTGCCATTCCACTTAGTCTCCTCTTCAGCCAGATCCATTAAAACTCTCTGAAAGTACCCTTTAATGTAACGTTACGTCGAAATACGGTCCTGTTATAGATGATGACGAAGGCTACCTGCTGCATACATGCACGAGTATCTTTTAATGTGYACTCAGCCATGCATTGTTCTCAATTTAATTTCTTCCATTCATGAAAAGACGTGGAAAACGATGATGTTCATGAGGTCAAACACAAGTGTACTGAGCTTTCAGTGTCACGCTCTCATGAGTACTTTGTGCTGCTCTCAAGATAAGGCCCGAAGAGCCTGTGGACAGATGAAGAAAAAAAAAAGTATTTTTATTAAAAAATTAAACATTTAAAATCACAGACTATCTTTCAATTGCATTGGGCRTCCGACAAATTAATTTTGCTGGTTTTTGCTAATGCAAGATGCATGCATATGGTACAGTGTCATTTCTGGTCAGGTCAGGTCAGGTCCTTCTGTGGTTTTGCCATGTTAGCATGTGGGACATTAGTCACTGTGGGTGTAACTGCAGTCCCAAATTCTTCATTCATTCTTTGTACCTACCCATCCCCACCCCACCCAAAAAAAAAAAAAAAACCAAAAAACAAAGATACCAAAAAATGTGGCAGTGCATCGCCATGTAACCCCACCTCATTCGGCCATCCCTCCTCTCCGGTCACATGTCCTTCATAGCCACATTCCTTTATCTGTCCTCCCTATCAAACTGTGCCTATCTCCGGA